AAGATCATGCAAGCAAAGCTGAACATGCTTAAGCAATCGCACTGACCACTGACCACTGACCGACAACACACACCTGCCCTCCTTGTTGTTAACTGTCAGTGTTAAATTACATTTAACTTCATTTAATTACAAATCCGTGTCTTACATTCCTGGTAGGTTATCCTTGAAAATTGAGTGAGGTTCTTGAAAAGTCTTTAAAAAATGGATGTAAATTTTTGTTTCAACCCTGAATCAGGTGTGGAAATGGCTGACTTTCTTACATGTTCATGTGTATGAAAATTCATGGTCATTATAAAATTAAGGTACATGTGGTACACTGTATCAGTGGTGTTATTTTAACATTACACTGTACATGTTTGTGAACTGTCCATGGGCACATACATGTACAGTACATTGAAATCATTGTGTTGAAAGCATCAATTTAGTTAGGGGAAATAAACCATTATGCTGCATAAGGCTGTATCCAATTTTCTGCTGAATTTATAGACAGTGTTTTAAGTAAATCTTAAAATTTTGCTGTATAATTTTTTCATTTTTTCAGATCCTTCCAAGATTGACCAAGCTCCATCCAACAAGACCATAGTTGAAGGAAGCAATGTCACTCTTCATTGTAATGCAACTGGTAGCCCAGCCTCAAATATCACATGGACAAAAGATGGCAGTCCAACAGCATTACATAAGGGAGAACAGTATGCCATTAGTAACATATCACGACAGCAACATGGCCACTACAAATGTACAGCATGGAATGGTGTGGGTGAACAGTCAAAAACAAGCTTCAGCATAAATGTCCTTTGTAAGCAATTTGAAGGAAATTTTTTTTTTCTTCATGTAACTGTATTTTTTATTGGAAGTTCACTTCGGTGGAAAGTGATTATACATGTGTCTTACAAAGGCCTTGGAAGATGGGCAGAAATTGTATTAATAAGCAGTTAAATGCTGTTATTAACTATGCAATTTAATACGTACATAGGTTGCACACTTTCCTCAACAGCTTGTCTTTAACCCACTCTCTCCAGGGAATTTTGCCAAAAAACTTGTTTTGAAGCTAGTTGAGTTGTTTTCTGGTCACTGTTTGGCCATAAAAAGCTAAGTCTTACCAAAAAGCTGTTTTGAAACTGTATATTTTGTGTACATTTTTTAATCGTCTGAACTGGGTGCAAAATTTGAAGTTTGGGCATGTGCAGAATTAAGCAACTTTTCAAGGTTTGGAGTTTGAAAGAGACACAGCACGCTTGACTTTTCTTTTCACTTTCTCTTAGACTCCCCTCTTCTTTCGCTTTTCTCACCTTGTCGTGCATTTTCATCATGGGAGTTTTTGGGTCAATGTTAATTTTTTTTTGGCCTTTTTCTCTGGGTCTTCTTGACTGAAGTGTGCTCATTCTGGTTTGGTTTGAAAGATTTCTTCAACCTGCACAGTTAGATGACAAAGTTGTCTTTGACCATACAAACTGATGACATCACAAGCATTAGATGGGACATAGATCGGCGTGGGTGATTTGGAGTGTTTCGGGGGCAAATGGGTTAAAGCACCCATAACCTAAAAAAATATATTTATTTAATTGAAAGTGCACATTGCTACAAGAACTTCTGTGAAAAAAATTGTTGATTTGAACTCAACATGATTTTTTTAGATTTTTTTTAACCTTTAAATTTGCCACCATTAATTTTGGAAACCCGGGGAACAAAAGAGCCGCGACATAGATCAAGAAGCCACCAAAAAAGAAACACATTCACTTAAGATACCATGGAACAAGTGTGGAGTTCTAGATTTATTTCTGCCATTATACAGATTGAAACAATGGTTACAAGGTAAAACATTCCAATTAGGTACGTGGCAGTTACATGCAACAACACTGGTGACCCTGCGAAAGAGATAAGCATACATAAAATTGTGGTTTTCAGTTCCTGAATTTATGTCTTATTATCATGTAATTACGAGCCTGTCAATACCGTGATCAGCACAACAGTTGTACCAAAGGTATTAGACTTACATTTCTCTTAAATTTTCTTGAAAATCTCCAAAACGCAAAATTTTTTTGAGAAAAGTTATTTTCGTAGTGTGCTCTTTCAATTAATGTAACAGATAGGCACTTCAAGAGATCAAGTGACAATCCTGGAAATGTTTAAAACACTTGATAATCCTTAATATGTATTGCAGCTGTTCTTCCAAGTTAACTTGAACTGCTTTTCAAATTGCTTTCCTGTTTTCTTCCAAAGTTTGAAGCATTTTCAACAGTTTTCTAGCCTTACAAATAACAAAATAACATTATAAAATTGATCTTCTATTTTAATTTTGCAGATGAGCCTGCCATATCTATTCACAAGTGTCCAAGTCCAATAACAGAGGGTAGCAATACCACTTTATACTGTAATGCAACAGGCAATCCAGTGCCAGATGTTGCCTGGATATATCAAGAAACAGGTGTCATTCTTACCAGCACAGACGAGTTAGTTTTTACTTCCATTGATCGTAGTCAAGCGGGAAGCTATAAGTGCCACGCATTCAATGGTATTGGTTCTAATTCTACAAGAAAGTGCAGTTTGGATGTGTTTTGTAAGTACGATTTATTGTAATAATAACATCAAGAAATATTCATAATGTTAAGGGAGTTGTGAACTCTGCTAAATCCCTGGTTCTGGTGATGCTCCTATGGTAGGAGCAGTGATTTTGTTACAATTTGTCAATAGTGAGTCCTGGGACTCATCTCATGAAAACTCATGAGTCCCAGTACAGAATCAGTGAGTCCCAGTTCAAAACACAATGAGTCCTTACTATACTAAAAGATGCCAGAACTCTCATGAAACCAGACAATCACATTTAATCTGTAGTTTACTTTCAATGGCTAGCTGAATAGCAAAGCACTTATTTCTGTAACATATTACAGTGTACTGAAATTAAATAATTATTACAGTCTTCCTCACAAAAAAATTAATGTTCTAATTTCTAACAATATAACAATAACAAGCCCTAAAGCTTTACACAATCAGTTAGAAGAAAGCTTTGCCGGATTACAAACCACTGTCCACCATCCTGGTTCAACCACGTGATTTCCATTATGGCAAAAATAATGAGTAACCACTCCATCAGTAAAATAAACATGGGCACTTTTAAAAAAATAGTTCCTGAGAATTATTTTGTGTGGAAATATTTGTCTGTTACTCTTTTGTTCCCTTCATATTCCCTTCAAAAACATCATCATAATTGTGTAAAGACAAGAAATGGCTGTGAGTGAAGGGCATGGAGGATAGTTTTTTGAAAATCTGGAATGTCCTTGGTACCTTGGACCAAATGAAGTATATGAAATAATTCATTTTTGAACTGCGGTTGCAATTGGAAAGAAGAAGCCTGAAAAAAAAAATCAGGGCTTCAATGGGATTCGAACCCGTGACCTCTGCATTATCGGTGTGTTGCTCTACCAACTGAGCTATGAAGCCACACATTGGGAGCGAGGTCAATTTGTTGAGTTCATATCTCCCGTGAGGAGTGAAATGATATGAATTCGAAGTATATGAAATAATTCATTTTTGAACTGCGGTTGTAGATGAGAGTGAAGAATAATTTTGTGTCCAGCACCCGTCAAGTTGTCTGGTCAGACCTATTTTTTCTCGGACACAAACTGTTTTTGGCTGGAAAAATGTTTGCTTGGTCCTTTCTCTATCTCTCTTTTTCTAATTTTCCATTAGGACCATAAGTGACTAGACAAAGCCTACTTTTGTTTGGACATTGTCTTTTGACAGGCTGTTATTTCAAGCCCTGAAGTTCCACCAAGTATATCCCAAACGTTTTTCCAATACCGCTTTAACTCCTCAGTCGTACTTGTTCCTACGTGTCCATGTATAATTTATCATGAATGTTTTTATCAGCTTTTAATACTGTGGGTCTTCACCAGGTGATGGTGCCAATTACAGCTGTAGCTGTGTAGAGCTATTGCTGCAGTAGTCTGCTTTATAGTCAGCTATGAAATGGATGGGCATCATAATACATATACACCTACATGTACTTTACTGTTACATACAGAATACAGCTGTGAGTCTAAGGCAGTTGAAAGTTAATAATTACAGGAACTTCATGAAAATCTAATACTGTGAGCTTACATGTAAATAAGTCTGGTGGAAATTTTGTGTTTTCTGATATATTGCAGACCTACCATTAGGAACAAGTATAGAGATGACACCCTCAAACACTACAGTGCTGCATGGTTCTACTGTGACACTTAACTGCAGCACAGATGCCAACCCAACAGCCCATGTGTATCAGTTCTACTTCAATGACTCTTTCATCAGCAACAGCAGCTCAGGTCTGTTAAACATCACTGTAGATGCAGATGGAGTGTACACCTGTGTTCCTATCAACAAAGTTGGCACAGGACACAATGCTAATGTCAGCATCACCATGGTTGGTAAGTCACTCATATTTTTTAGCGTGAGTGTTCATGGTTTTGTTTCAATAAAATGCTATTCACAGATTTAAGTAGTTTGGACTTCAGTTCATAAGGTTGGTTTGAGAGATGTTGATTACTTAGCTAGGGTACTTAGCCCCACTTTGTGCTATTTTACTACAAAGACAATCCCCAGCTACTTTCCTGGGAAGCAAAAGGAGTGTAAAACCAAAAGAGTTTTGTAGTAGTGTCATTCCCCGCTTACTTAACCTGCTAACTTGTAATCTTAATGACAGCTTTGCAGTAAGGTCTGTCCTCAGATACTGTACATTGCTGTGGCTGTATGGAAACCCCTTCAACCTGATTTTTTATAGTAAGTTGCACTATTAAAGCACCGTTATGACATCACTTGCTTCAATTCTAAAAAGGGGCAGCCAGAAGCCATTCTCCAAGTTCATTTTTTTTAGTTGATATTTTGCCAGACATAGATATTGGTTGCCAGAAAAAAAGCAAGACACTTTGCACATTATTTGGGATAATCAAACTGGGTACCCAACTAATACACATTAGTTGTAGCTATAATTATTATTAAATAGGGAGTGGGAAAGCGGCCTACTTTGTTCTGTTTAGGAGACATGCAGTATGGAGCAAATTTATAAAATGGATGGAACTGTTGGTTTCTTGTGATTTATTTTATTAAAGCACCAACTTGCACATACACTGCAAACAAGGAGGGAAGTATTAGATTAACTACTAACAATGGAGGCCATTTACAGATAAAATTTGGACAAGTCACATGGTCTTAAAACAGGGACATAAGATGAAATGACAACAAACAAGAACAATATGGGACGAAATTGCAACTGCACAAAATCAATGGTAAAATACAGACAGAAATGTAGGTTCTTCAATACCTGAAATATAGGGCTTTGAAATTCATGCAGGAGACATACAACCCCCCTCCCCTCCTCCAAAGGGCCTCGATATGACATGATATTACTTGGTCTCAAACATTCTGTGTTAGCGCAAGTTACTGCATGGTCATCTTTAACAAGAAACCCTTGTACAAGTTAACATTATTTCTTTGTTTCTTTGAAGATGCACCTTCAGTTGATGTTAATCCTACATCCTCTGTTGTCGTGGAAGGACAAAATGTCACACTCTCCTGCAATGCTTCTGGGAAGCCTTATCCTCGACTTACTTGGACCAAAGTTGGTGGCTTGGGTCAAGTATTGTCTCAAACTTCAACACTTATTGTGAATAATGCGAGCAGGACAGTTAACGCTAACAACATGATTCAGTATCAGTGTACAGCTGATAATGGAGTGGGACATCCTGCTACTGCTGTTGCAAATGTAACTGTCCACTGTAAGTACCTCATTGTCTCTGACAAAAACGTATCACCATGACAATTCTTATTCTAGGAAAACATGGGTGTTGTGTCATTCCAAATCAACTCAACACTCACACAAATGTACTGATCCCTTGCAAGCATTGCAGCAACTCTTGGGCCGATGCTGGTCGGATCTTTTTTTCCAAATTCATGACAAGCTGAATGTATGTGTTTGCAGAAGGGATTGGTTATGAAATAATGTATAGATTTAGCCAGGGCTAAAAGCGAAGCTCTCGATCATATTTATAGTTTGTTGAAACAAAATAAAAAATCGTGTAATGCTAAGTGGCGAAGGCATGCAACGCCGGAAAGCGTTGAAAAACAACAATAGGTCTAATTAGCAAAAGTAACTTTGCACGTGCAACACACTTTTTTGTACATTTCTTTGCCATTGTTTGGCACGACTACAATGTGAAACTTTTATGGAGGAAATGTCATACGTGTTCCCGTTCACTTTTTCTCACTGCCGCTCATCTTCACCTTGCATTGGTGGCTGCTAGCATTTCTCATTTGACTGCCGCTACAAAATTTTCATGTTGTTCTTCCAACCAAAAATGTCTCCTTTGTTTTTTATCTCTCGCTTTAAATCCCTGTCGCCCTTTTTCTTGTTGAGCTTCACTGGCCTGCCTCCCACTTTCTCTTTTTCTCTGTCTTTCTCTTGCTCTATATTCCAAATTTGTGGACATGACAATTTATCTAAGCTTAATACTTTAGTCTTTATTGACTCTTTTGTTGTCTCTGCTTTACAAGACGCCGGTGGCTATGTGATTTCCCGCCAAAATAACGTTGAGTTGCATTTGGGTTACCATACCTGTTGATTGAGTTATTTTACATTGGTATACCTGTGGTGCGGACAGACGGTCTCTCGGGCGGGCGGGCGGTGTACAGTCAAGTGATTACCAAATTTTCTCGGATGGGTAGTATACTTTATTTTCTTACCCATGGTGCTTCGCTATGAAACCATATTTCTACAGTTGCTATTCAGAGCTCCCTGACTGTGTAAAAGTTTTTGGTTGTGGTTTGATAGGACATTTTTGTTGGCCAGTTAGGTCCAAACAACCTAAGAAAAGAGATATAGATAGATATAGATATCTGATGGCCCTGACAATTATTGGAGTTTATTAGCTGCTGAATAGTATGTATCTTTTATTCTCTTTTTATTTCTTATTCTTTTTAATCCCCTAGATGAGTTGTGCACAACATCTGCTTATTTTTTTAGAAAGGTTTTAACAAAGATTGCTTGTGATTTGGAATTCTGGATTTAAGTCCCCTAGTTTATTGCTATTTACATTGGTATACCTGTGGTAGTAGTACAGTAGAGAACAATTTATTCCTGTATGGGGGCAGGAGGAATCTCATTCTTTTCAGCAGGAATTTAGAAATTCTGATGTTGTCATGAATAGGGATCCTACTAAAACAGGATGATGTCACACTCTTCTTTTATGTTGTGCTTAGTATAACCAGTTTAGAAGGTTGTAGTTTTTTAAGATCTATGATGTCATAATTGGTGTAGCTGGAAGTTTGAAAAGAAAGTTGTCATTGCAACCCCTTTTGTAGTACTTGGGTCATAGGGTTAAATGGCATATGAATTTCATTTTACTATTTATTGCTTAAGAAAACTAAACCAAACTTATCCCCTACTTCAAACACAGTTGTGGTTCTCAGAGAGGTGCATTTAATCATTTTCATCTTGTTTAACAGTTCCTCCAGAGTTCGTCTCTACCCCGTCATCTCATCAACTTGTTGAGGGCAGTGGAGCTTTGCTGTACTGTAATGCTATCGGTAATCCAGAGCCAAATATAACTTGGACAAAAGGTGGAAATGACAATTTGTTGTCAACTTCAGAGATTCTAAATCTGACCAGTGTGCCGAGAGGAGATAATGGAGCAGTGTACACATGTAAAGTGCAAAATTATCTCGGATTGGTGAAAGCTACCGCCGTAATTACTGTGTTTTGTGAGTATTTTAGTTATTTATCATTGTGGAAATGTTTTAAGTTTGCAGAATTTTCTTTTTGATAGAATTTAAGCAAAAAGACAGCAACCCAGAAAATTTTTCTTCTTTAATGTTTATTTAACAATTAATGAATGAGGCTGAGTATCTTATGAAGAATTATGCAGATCGAGGAGGGTGTTATCAGCCGAGGTGGATAACAGCTCTGAGATATCCATAATTCTTCATGTGATACGAAAGCCAAATTCAATAATTGTTTTATTATTCATTCAAAATAATTCCTAGTTTAAAAACATGCCTAAAACATGCTTACTTCCATCGATCCATCGATGTTAAGTTCATCTTCGATAGTGCACGTTTAGGTTTGTCCAGCTCTGCAAATATTCTCCAAATAGCAGATGTCGCCCTTCAAGTTGTCTTCGAGCTGTTCTTGCCATGTTTTTAGATAATTTTTTGCCTAGCTCTTACTCTTGAAACAAGTGAAACGACCACCATTTTTGTTTCCAGAACCAAAACAACTCAACCTCATCCCCAGGTCTTCTCGGTTAGTGGTGCCTTTACCTGCACGAACACTGCATTTTTGACGTCATTTCCTTGTTAAACACAAAATTCTTTCAAATTTGGTCATCAGTAACTGGTTATGGTGAATTAAAAGTGTGCTTTTAGCCAATCAGAATTGGGGAAATATTATGAATGAAAAATAACAGGCCTTAACCAATACTTGTGGCTAAAAAGACATTCAGGCAGAATTCTTAACAAATACTTACTTTTTACTTTAGCATGGAGTTTTTCTTGGTATCCTCCTTGGAAACAATAAGTTGTTCAATTTAACTGACATTTTCATTGCTCTTCAAGAAGGAAGAGGAAATACATGTAGTCTGCATTAAACATAATACAAAGACTGTGTATTACTTTCAGATGCACCAATGGTGGCAATCCAGCAGTGTTCCTTTCCTGTTACTGAGGGTGATAATGTGACATTTTACTGCAATGCTACTGGTAACCCATCTCCCAATATAACTTGGACCAGAGCAAACTCAAGTGCAGTTATATCATTCAGTGAGATGTTTCACATGGAAGCTGTCAAGAGGAATGAATCAGGAAGTTACCTTTGTCATGCTTCCAATGGTTTTGGTACCCACAACACATCCTGCAGTGTGGATGTGCAATGTAAGTTGTATTGAGGAGCTAAGGGACAAGGGCATGTCATTTTTTTCCAGAATTGCTTTGATTTTGCATGCAACCTTCTTTCAATCGTTCAGTCAAGTTTCTCGTGAATGTTGCACGCAGGGCCAATGAATAATGAGGCATAATAGAGATATTTTGTTTTATTGATGTGGACCTTGAGCAGAACCCAAATGTTTTGTGTTAGTGCATCTGTATCCTACATGGCTTAAGTGGTCTAGTCAAGAACGAATTTTATCGTAGGAAAACTAAAGAAAATACAACAGTATGCCTGGATAGTAAGAGACAAAAAGCAACCAAAAAATGTTGGTATTCTTAGTCTTGGGTACCACAGGAGAAACTTGTGAGATTTTTCCTGGGAGTCAGGAAAAAAAAGCAAACACAAAATTTATGGATTTGCCGTTTTGTATAACATGAAAAGAACATGCTGTTTGGGCAAAAGTACTGAAGTGTACTGTAAACATCTTTTTGTTTAACTGCCTTTGATTTAAGCACATGGTTCTCATGTCTTGAAAGGTCCTTCAATTTTAGGGGGAGTCCAGGGCTGTGCTCTAGCACAAGGTTGTCATTAAGAGCTGAGGGCCAGGGATTTTCCCCGTCTACTATGAGTGTGGCCCCCGGCTACTTTTATTAGAAAATAGAAGAAAAATGGAACCAAAAGAAATCCCTAGCTGTTTGATTCCCCGCCTACTTATTGTATTTACCCGGCAACTTGAAATCTTAATGACAACCCTGTAGCAGCATCGGGTGGCCCCTGGTGCCTCACTTTTGCTCTTGGGGGACGAGAAAATCTTAGATGTTTCATACAATTTATAATTATGCTGAGCACCCTGGATGTTAAAGATTCAGGGCAATTGGCTCCCTTCATTTTTCCCTACAGCACAGCTTTGGAGTCCTTCAAAAGTCCTTGAATTCAATTTTCCTTGAAATGTCCTTAAAGTTTTGTGCAAGTCCTTGAATTTTCTTCAACTTTGAATTTAGTGGCCTGGAATATTTCTTTTTTTAATGTTTTTTGCTTGTCCAAAAGAGAATATAAATTATAAAAAATGTAGCTCAGAGAAGCTATTGGTGATTTACATAAAGCGTCTTTTGTTTCGTGCAAGAATCAACTTTCAGTTTAAGACAAGGGAGCAGAACTTAAAAATGTAGGGAAGGTGGTGGATCAAGCAATGGCCTGGGAATGTGCATTTTTGTACAGGCTATGGTAGGTGCTCCTTGAAAATCTTAAGTGGTCCTTGAAAAGTCCTTAACCCATTCACCCCTTGAGATTTTGCCGAAAAACTCATTTGAAGCTAGTCGAACGGTTTTCTGGTCACTGTAGTACTATTAAGAGCTAAAACTTACCACAAAGCCGTTTACAGGTTGTACTCTTCGCAGCCTTCTGATCCAGATGCAAAATATCAGCTTGCGAAGTTCGGGCATATGCAGAAGGCAAAATTTCGAGCTAATTTTTTGGTTTAAAAGTGACACAGCAGTCTTGACTTTTACTTTTCGCTTTCTCTCCTTCCTTCTTTTTTCGCTTTCCTTGCCTCATTTTTTTTCTTTTGTTGGGCATTTAGAAGGCTTCATTTTGGTGGGTAAGGTTTTACTGAAAGAAAGCTTTTAGGATCTTAGGATTAGATGAAAGGAAAGGTAGGTGAGTAGTAGAACAAGATTTTCGTGGCAATTTTTGGGTCAATGTTACATGGTTTTTTGCCTTTTTCTCTGGTGACCTTGAATGAATTGTGCTGATTCTGGTATGGTTTGAAAGATCTCTTCACTCTGCACATGTTAGCAGAGAAAGTTATCCTTGACCCTTAAAACTGATGACATCACAATTGGTAGAAGGGACGTGAATCTGCACGGGCGGCTCAAGGGTGAATGGTTTAAAAGATGGTTGTAAGTTTTTGTATTAACCCTGAAGCATTCTGAATTTTTTTTCTGCCTTTGTTTTTTAGATCGACCCACTGATACAGCTCTTACAACTGCTCCAGCCAACACCACAGCCTTGCATGGTTCCCTTATGTCACTAAATTGTGTTACAGATGCCAACCCAGCAGCCCATGTGTATCAGTTCTATCTTAATGACTCTTTTATTAGCAACAGTAGCTCAGGTGTGCTCAACATCACTGTTAATACAGATGGAGTGTACACCTGTGTTCCTATCAACAAAGTTGGTACAGGACACAATGCTACTGTCAGCATCACCATGGTTGGTAAGTTCAGTGCATCGCTGATCGTTTTCACATGATTTTGCAGTAACATATAAGTGTGTACCAAACTAATGAAGCTGTGACCATTTAAGTGACGCGGTTTGAATTCTGTTCCCAGGTAAAGATTTTTTTGTTCCAACAAATTTGTATAGATCAGGGCTCGAAATTGTGACTGATACGGTCACTCGTGCGACTAACATTTTCTCTTTGGCGACTAAAAATTCTTGTTTAGTCACCACTTTGGTTACCAGATTTTTTCTATGATTTAGATTTAAATTTAAAGTTAAAACAAATTTTTCATTTGCCAAATCGCATAACCAAGGCCAGTTTACCTCCAAATAATAATAATTTATATCGACTTCTGTGTGTGATTTTTTCGAACAATCAAATCTGATGGGTGGTTCCATACTATGAGCCGTGTCATTTACATTGTACAAACTGGCAACTAAAAATTTGCATCTGGCGACTATTTTTCTCCAGTTGGTCGCCAAAAGGTGACCTTAGGATTTTTTAAATTTCGAGCCCTGTAGTTGCTGACCATGTGAGTCAAAAACATTCTACATTTAGTTCTCACCATACCGCATGTAACACCAATACTGAAGCTGTCATCAATTATTTTTTAACATTGTTTCTCTTTCTTCAGTTGCTCCATCAGTAGAAATCTCCAATACAATGCTGATTGCAGTTGAGGGAAGCAACGTGACATTAGCTTGCAACGCTTCTGGAAAACCTCCTCCAATAATAACATGGACAAAAATAGGTGACTCTAAAGTCTTTCCTCAAGGTTCATCCATCAGTGTTGTGAATGTCACCAGACCTGGAACCCCTGATAATATGATCCAGTATCAGTGTACAGCTAGTAATGGAGTGAGGATTCCTGCTAAAGCTGTGGCGAATATTACTGTCCACTGTAAGTATGATGTTCATCCATCGTACTGTAAATCCTCTAATAACATAATGGCTGTATAGGTAAACAACCAAGGCCCTAATTTGCTCAAGAAAGCAAAGCCCTGAAGGATTCTGGCAGTAGTAGGACAATAATGATGCCATGATGCAAATGAAATATTTCTTTAGCTTTTGACTTCACTTTCATCAATCACCTTTATTTTTGGTTCATTTTTGGAACATCACGTTCAAATGTGAAATAATTCTGTCCAATGGCTGTCAACCTTTTTTTGACTGCAAGGTTTTTTTGACAGCTATGGTATCTGCCTCTGACTGCTCTCACATTAAAGTTTTATCCACTTTCTTTTCTCATCCTCCCTCTTCAGTGGCCATACTATCCGATGTTTTTTTTGTACTTTACAAACAAACAATATTACAGAAATTTAGAATTCATTACATTTAAGTCTAATTATTGGTTACTAAAATTTATGTTACATTAAAACAGATAACTAATTTTACAGAGAGGGAAAAAAAGAGAAATGAAGAAAAAGACCAAAAAAAAGACAAAGTCCAAAAAATGACTACAAAAGCAAATACAAGAAGGTTGTTGGCCTTTTGGTCTTCCCTCCCTCCCATCTGCCCTGCTATCCTGTGGTTACTACCCAGCTATGGGTAGCTTTTGTTGTAGGTACCAAGAACATGAAGGTCAAAAATGTTAACACCTCTTGTACTGGTGGCAATTTGTGTTTTTTATTTTGCCTTCATAAATACCCTCTTAGTTTTGTCCATATGTGCACCCATACAGCTGCACCTCACTCAACAGTCTCCTATGGGTGTGGTCCAAGAGCGAATTTCAATGTTGACCACAAAACGAAATACACCCTTAATTGGGTATGAGTAAGGAGGTAATGGGACTTGAAAAACTGAACACAAAATTTTGTGGATTTGCCCTTTACATAGCATGGAAAGAAAATGCAATTAACTCCTAATGTAAATTGTTTAAATTTTTAGTTGAACCTCAAAGGCTTAACATTTCTCGACCTTTTGGTTTTTCTTTTAACAGGCATATTTGTTGCCTTTGCTCTTTAGATCCACCAACCAGTACAGGTTTAACAACTTCTCTGGTTAACACCACAGTGCTATGGGGCTCTACTGTGTCTCTTAATTGCAGTACAGATGCCAATCCTGCTGCTTATATGTATCAGTTCTACTTTAATGATGCCATTATTGGCAACCATAGCTCGGGACTGTTAAACATCACTGTTGATGCGGATGGAGTGTATACCTGTGTTCCTATCAACACAGTTGGCACAGGACACAATGCTACTGTGAGCATCACCATGGTTGGTAAGTCACTAATATTTTTAGTGGAGTGAGAATTTTCATGGTTTGTACTAATTTTGTGACTTTTTGTGTCATGCACCTGTACTACATACAATAGGACAAATAACAAATCCACGCTTTTTGTTCTGAATGAACTGCTGAATGTTTTGCAGGTGCAAACCCTTCACAGCTTTAGAAATGACTGGGTGAAAAAATTCAACTCTGAAGTCCTTGCCCAATATCTTTTCTAACATTGTGTGCTTTGTTCTGTTTTCTGCAGTTGCACCATTAGTAAAGATCTCTGACACCATTCTGACTATAGTGGAAGGAAGCAATGTGACATTATCCTGCAATGCTTCTGGAAAACCTTCTCCAATAATAACATGGACACGAGTGGGTGACTCTAAAGTCTTTCCTCAAGGGTCATCCATAACTGTTTTGAACGTTAGCAGACCTGGTACCCCAGATAATATTATCCGGTATCAGTGCACAGCCAGTAATGGAGTTGAGAGTCCTGTTGAAGCCATTGCAAAGGTTACTGTTCACTGTAAGTATAATAAGAAATAGCATTTTTGCAAACGTGAAATTTGTATTTTGTAAGAATGTCGCTAATGCCAATGACACCCAATTCCAGGTTTTGTTCAGCAGCAAAAGTTGCAGTTCTGTATCTGTTCTCATTCAGCCAAGTTCCACATATTGAATAGCCTATTTACATGGTTCGTACAATCTTGAAAACATCTTGTATTTTAGTAGTCATCTTAAGAAATCCTTGATGTCGGTTAAGGTCCTCAAAAACTAATCGATTTCTTAATTAAGTTGTAAAAAGTCCTTGAAATTCATTACCTTGTTTATGCCACACCATTTTCTGGGAAATTAGAGTATTTCTGGAGAAAAATTTGGCCCCTCCCAGTGTAAGAACATGTAGACCTCACAGGTAATGTAAAAACAATTTTTGCGGATGAACAACATTTTATTGTTGTTTCTTTATTTCAAATCCTTTCTCTTTTCCTGAGATGCAACTGCAAGTCAGTGACTTGTCATTTTGCAAAGTGTTGTTATAGAAAGTAGTATAAAATAAATTGATAAACCACAGCTGACGAGAAGTAGAAATCGTAACTGACTCCATTAAGGGTTTTTACCAATAAGGTGTTCAAACAGAAAAGAAAGAAAAGAAAAGAAAAGAAAGCCAAATGATTGAATAAATCTTAGTCCTTGGAAACTGCAACTTGTCCGTAAAAAGTTCCTGAAAAGCCCTTGAAATTTGTTTGTCTGAAGTTGTACAAAACATGCATTTCACCATTCAACATTTCTAATGCGGCAAGATACACATTCCAGGCATTCTGAAATTTGGCCTGTTACAAATTGCAACAGAAGCTTTCTCATCATTAAACAGTTAGTTTAAACCTGTTAACAAACATACTAAAAGTCTTAAATATCCAAGCATGGGGATACCTGCAAATACAGGCCGCTGTTATGTCCTTCTTTCCTTTAGCATGAAAATGAGGGTCTAAGACATACAAGAAAAATCCTTTTTACTTTTGCGATATTTGCGGACATTTCGGGGTCCTTCTTGGTTTCTTTTATTTTCTAAGTATTGATTCTTGCTAGATTTGTTATTTTTGCGATATTTGTAAGTGATTTTCTTACATAATTTTTTCTCAATTATTTCTTTTGCGACAATTGCAAA